AAGTTAATTTTTTGTGAAAAAGTTGTCATTTTAAATCCCCCCCTGTGGGCAGGTTAAGTGTCAGATTTACAAAAAAAATATCAAGCATCTATATAAAAAAAAATTATATTCATACGTTCATTTTTGAAAAAGTTACGGCAGTTTTTAGTAAAAAAAATTTCGAAAATTAGCAATTTTTAAATTTGTAATTTTTAAATTTGTAATTTTTTTGGAGGTTTCCCCCATTTACGGGGAACGAGGGAAATTTTTTTCAATTTTGAAGGGTAATGTCTTCGACTAGATACGATTTGTGATCTTTTGACGTATCATTGAAAGAAATCCGTTCAGTGAGAGCTGAGAAAAAGTGGTAACAGACACAAAAAAAAAAAACACATCATAGTAAAACCAATACCTTCTCAGCTTCGCATCGAAGCTAAAATAGTCAAAAGTCTTTGACTATTCTAGCTCTAATTTTCAACAATCTAACATTAGTCAACTTTATATATTTTCTATAAAGTCTTTCAAATGAGATTGAGAAAAAATACTCCATCAGTTTGAATGAAACTTGAGGTACAGATTATTTTATTAAATATACTAAAGATAGCTCCTAATATATTACACATTACACCCAATCTATTATAAGTAAATACTTAGGTATTATCCTGGTGGTTCATTTGTTCTACAATGTCCATGTAAATTCAATACAGGGAATATAAGAAACATATTTTTTTATATTGTGTAATATATGTACAATATAGGAAATCAATCTCATATTTTAGGGTCCATAAAACACAAATCTCTTAATTATAAGGATATTCCATGCTTAAAAGTATTGCATTGTTCATTATTAAATTATCACTTGAACTTAACAAATTTTTTTATATTCTGGTCAATTATATATAATTAATAAGTGAGAGCAGGTTCAAAAAAAAAAATCTTCGTTATTATACTTTTAAAACTAGGTTGTTGAATCTTAATACTGATGAAATCGCGGATTTAGTGGGTATAAAGTTACCTAAATCAAAAGACTAGTTTTTTGATGTTACATTTGTTTATAAAATCATTATTGGAATAATCAAAAGCCATGAAATACTACAAATTGTAATTTTAAAGTAGCCACCTTAATTCTAAATTTAATCCCTTTTTACTCTATTTCAGTTCAATAAAAAATGTCACTAATAGTCCGACGTGCCCCTTGCCAACAATATATAACCCAATAAATAATTTCGTTTTCTTTAATTCTTGTACACTTATACAATTTATACATATAATTTAAAATAAATATTATCAAAGTCCTTTAGTTATTAAGTACTTTGCTATTTTGTTGTAATTTTAGTTGTTCTCCTAAAGGGTGTAAAATTTATATAAATAATTTTTTTCAGATTATTATTACTATTATATTGTGATATATTAAACCAAATAATTTTTATTCTTA